TTGTAATTGCAGCTACTTGGGAGGCTGAGGCAGGAGAATCGCTTGAACCTGGGAGGCAGAGGTTGTAGTGAGCCGAGATTGTGCCACTGCACTCCAGCCTGGGTGACAGAGACTCTGTCTCAAAAAAAAAATTAGCTGTGTGTGGTGGTACACTATAATAGCCCCAGCTACTCCAGAGACTGAGGTGGGAGGATCACTTGAGCCCAGGAGTTCCAGGGTGCAGTGAGCTGTGATTGCACCACTCCGCTGCTTCCTGAGTGACAGAGCAAGACCCTGACTCTAAAAAATAAAAACTGAAGGTAACTCAATGTCTCTTCATGCAGTTGGCCCCTTGTGGTTGTTTCTCTGAGGAGCCACTCTGCCAGGTCCTTTCCCTCTGTCCCTCTTCTGTGACCTCATGAACTTGACCTGGAAGCCTGGCCACTGTCCCTTAGTTGGATTTCTGTAGGTGAGAGGGGCTGTCACTGTTTTGGAGCAGTTGGGCCTCCCTGCAATTCTGAGCACTGCTGGGCCCTCATCAAGACAGTCTCAACTGGGCATGTGGCTCACGCCTGTAATCCCAGCACTCTGGGGGGCTGAGGCAGGTGGATCACCTGAGGTCAGGAGTTCAAGACCAGCCTGGCCAACATGCTGAAACCTCATCTCTTCTAAAAATACAAAAAAGCCGGGCGTGGTTGTGCACATCTGTAATCCCAGCTACTTGGGAGGATGAGGCACAAGAATCACTTGAACCCAGGAGGTGGAGGTTTCCTCCCTGGGTGACAGAGTGAGACTCCATCTCAGAAAAAAACAGTCTCATGGGCTGCAGTGTAGGGTGACTGCCCAGATGTCTGGTTGTTGAGCTATGTAGGGGAAGCAGCCTTTGAAAGAAAAGGCATATAATTTTGGGGTCAGGCGTACTTAGCTTGAAATCCAGTCTCTGCCACTTTCTAGGTGTGTCATCTTGGCTAAGTTATTTGACCCCTTTGAACCTCAGGTTTTTCATTTGCAGTGTAAGTTTAATGAATACATCTAGGTTGGTGCAAAAGTAATCACGGTTTTGCCATTACTCCCCCGCCTTTTTTTTTTTTTGAGACAGAGTCTTGCTCTATCACCCAGGCTGGAGCGCAGTGGCGCCATTTTGGCTCACTGCAACCTCTGCCTCCTGGGTTCAAGCGATTCTTCTGCCTCAGCCTCCCGAGTAGCTGGGATTACAGGCATGCACCACCACGCCCGGCTAATTTTTGTATTTTTAGTAGAGGCGGGGTTTCACCATGTTGGCCAGGCTGGTCTCAAACTCCTGACTTCATGATCTGTCCACTTCAGCCTCCCAAAGTGCTGAGATTACAGGCGTAAGCCACAGTGCCCAGCCGCCATTACTTTAAATGGCAAAAACCGCAATTACATTTGCACCAACCTAATACTTTTCAGGTCTGTTTGGCTGGATTAAACAAGCGATGTAAGTTACCTGACACCAGTGGACTCCCAGCCAGTGACATCTGTTTGAGCAGCACCTTCATTTCCATTTGCCTTCATTGTCATCCATTTTATGAAAGAATCACAGTACTATGCATTTAGAAACCAAGGACAGTTATAGCAAATCCATCGTTTATGGCAATTTGTGCTGCAGAAAACTGGTTCTAAAATTTTTCATTTTCCTTCAGGTATTCTACCTCGACACTACCACTTCTCAAATTTATTTCAAAGACGTTTTATCCTTTGCACCATATTCCCTTTGAAAAGTAGGGATTTGGACCTCCTACTGTTTATTTACTATGAAATTAGAGCTAGTATTATGGGAGCTCAGTGCACACTGATAACTGCTTACAAAAGGTGATCCCTGACTCTGTGAGAATGCACTTCTTCACAAGAACTATAGCTGTGTATGGAGTTTGAAGTAAGCCCACCTGTTTGTCATGTCCCCTCAGCATGGATCTCTGATCCAGATACTTCACAGATCTCTGGAGTAGCTGAGTGAGTGTGTGTGAGAGACTAGGCTTTATTTATTTATTTATTTGTAGAGATAGGCTCCCTCTGTGTTGCCAGGTTGGTCTTGAACTCCTGGCCTCAAGCAGTCCTTCTGTTTCGGCTTCCCAAAGTGCTGGGATTATAGGCATGAGCCACTTGAGTAGGCTTTGAATGCAGCAGCTCATGCTGGGTTTGACCCCTCAAAATGGAGCTGCATAGCATATATAGTGGGTGTCTGCTTAGTGGCTCAGCATACGCCAAAACACCATGCACAATGGAGAAAGCAGGAACTGGGGATCGAAAGCTAATAGGCTCAGAATTCTAGCTCTGCTATTTGCCATGAGACACTGGGCAAAGCACATCTCTGACCCTCAGTTTCTTTCTTTGTGGAGAGAGTTATATCTATTTTGCAAGTCCTGATTATGCAGAGACATTGATCACATATCACGCAAGATCCAGTCATCATGTTTTGTTATATCCATTTTGCAAGAATTCTTTATAAAGCCCTTAATATATGAGTGCCGATAGTAGTAATAACACTATGCAGAAGAGATGAAGAACATAGGAAATAATAAATTCATCAGTATTCAGTGTTGGGAGCAAGAGACAGTGTGTGTGTTCTGTTTTGTTATGTTTTGTTTTTAAAAAAAAACAAACAGTGAGCACTGGCCTTGGGCAGGTCGCCTGAGCTCACTCATCTCAGCTGCCTCCCCACGCGGAAGCTGGCTCCCTTGTTGTAAGGACCAGAGCACAAACATGAGAAGCCTTTGCAAACTAAAGCACTCTCCAAGAGACACTGTCAAGCCATCATTTCCATGCCTCTGTACTGTTGCTTGCATTTCTACTTTTCAATACCCACCATCTTCAGCGAGGAATCATTTCACGTGTACTTGTAGCAATGCCATCAGGCACTTATGATATATACTAAATCATCCTAGAGGCCCGGCATGGTGGCTCACACCTGTAATCCCAGCACTTTGGGTGGCCGAGACAGGCAGATCACTTGAGGTCAGGAGTTCAAGACTAGCCTGGCCAACATGGTGAAACCCCGTCTCTACTAAAAATACAAAAAATAGCCAGGCATGGTGGTGCGTGCCTATAATCCCAGCTACTCAGGAGGCTGAGGCGGAAAAATCACTTGAACCCAGGGGACAGAAGTTGCAGTGAGCCGAGATCGCACCACTGCACTCCAGCCTGGGCGTCAGAGTGAGATCCTGTCTCAAAAACAACAACAACAGCAATAAAATCATCCCAGAAAGCCATGGTCATAAAAATACTTGCCAGAATCCCATAATAAATTTTACTTACATTTTAAGTTCATTTGTTGAAACAGAAACATTTATTTCTCTTACTTGGCAACAAAGAAACACACATTTAGTCTGTGTTAGTATATGTGCCTGTGTTTACAGATCATTTTACAGGTCCATAATTTGAGTGAATTTGTATCATTTTCTTTTTGTTCACCATTGTGATCTCTGTGCCTTTACCACATGAATACCAATTTGCTGTGGACAACTGCCCGATCTGGTTACAACCTGGCAAATCTTATCCAGATTTAAGAAAATGACTCTGTAACTTTAGTCTTGTTGCTATTGACAGTCAAATGACTGAGTTTATCTTCATTGCCTTTTTCTTTCCTAGGTAGCTTTTAAGTCAGCTTGTTTAAGTCAGCTTTTAAGTTTGAAGAATAAACTCATTCACAAAACACTTAGAATAATCCAAAGTAATAGATGATATTTTGGCACCAGTTTTGTGTGGATCGTTCACACATTTCCCTCTATGCCAAAAGCACGGTAGAAAGATGAAAAATATTTCAGCCACCTCTCTTGTCACACATGACAACAGGATGCCTTAAAATATATGATGCTGGGTGCAATGGCTTACATCTGTAATCCCAGAAGTTTGGAAGGCCAAGGTGGGTGGATCACCTGAGGTCAGGAGTTCGAGATCAGCCTGGCCAAAATGGTGAAACCCCGTTTCTATTAAAAATACAAAACAATTAGATGGGCATGGTGGCGCGTGCCTGTAGTCCCGGCTACTCACGGGGCTGAGGCAAGAGAATCGCTTCAACCCAGAAGGCGGAGGTTGCAGTGAGCCGAGATTGTGCCCCTGCACTCCAGCCTGGGTGACAGAGCAAGGCTCCATCTCAAAAAAAAAAAGCATTCATTTTAGGGTGAGACTTAACTATGTTTAGGTCCCATCTCTGCTACCAGACATGTGTCTTGGTAAAGTTACTTGGCGTAGCTACTTTAACGAGTCCAACTAGTTGAATTATATAACAAGATAGTAGGCTCCTACAGAACGCTTCCATGTCGTTATGCTTATGAATGTATTTTTCAACTTTTTATATGATTATTTCTTAATTTAAGAAAGCCAGCAGGGACCAAAAAAAGACACTTCTTTGACCTTAAGATGGCAAAAGATGTGAAAACATGGAGATGTGTATTTTCAGAATTTTGTAGCCATCACACATTTAAGATTTTAATGGACTTCAAGATGCTAATAGATATTTTGAAATTTCTCTGGAAATTCACTTGGTTTTCAGCTCCAAGCTGAACAAGGACCACGGGCAGCCAGGTGTAGGTATTTTGTAAGCCGCAGCTTGAGATGGTCGTACCTGGTGATGCTCTGTAAGGAGCTAAGAAGGCAGGACCACACGATCCTATTAAAAGGTAGCACTGGATGGCCTTCTTTTTAGACATGCTCCACTGAAGCCTTTTAGTCTACATGGGAAGGAACCAAGGCCCAACAAGTTTAGGTGACTGTGTTAGTTATTGGCAGATTCATGTGTGGAGCCTGGGTCAGCTGACTTCCAGGACAGGGCTGTCTCCTGAACCATTCCGGCATTTGGAGAGCAATGAACACTGCATGACGTGGTTCTTCCTGCTCTGTTGGAAGAAGGCATGGCATTTTAGAGCACAGAAATTCATCAAACATTGAAACATTTGCTGTTGTATTGACACCATCTTTTCTTTAGGAATGATCTTGGAAAAAACTAGGAAAAGTTATTCCATGGACCAGTGATGACCAGTTATTGTTCCTTTTGTCAACAGGCAAGATGATGATGAATGAAGTCCTGGCAGCTTCCTGTGTCCCAGGCCTTGTAGAAATAAATGAGACAGACGTGCTTCAAAGTTCTAATGTGCATCACATCGGATCTTGTTTAAGGAAGCGTTAAAAGGAACCCACCGTTACCTATTGAGAAGGCTCTGTGCTCTCAGGCATTGTTTCTGATTGAATCCAGAGGTTGCAAGCATGCCTCCCTGTATTACCTGTTGGAGCAGGTTTAATTTTATAAATTTTAAACACAAACTCTATGAGTTTCTAGTTCATAATTGTTCTTTTTGGGGATCCACTCAGATGAACAGTATTGCATTTGTAAGAGATACCCACTTCCACAGGACCAGATTTCATTGCAATATCAGTGGCAACAGACTCCATCTGTAGCATCATCCAGTACCAGTGACGGGAAGGACAGATGGCAAGGAAACCCTTCGGGGGGGAGAAAAAAACGTCATATTGTGTTGGACCTACAGATTACTAGAACCATAGCTTTAGTAAACCAAGGCTTTTTTTCTTGAACACAATCTGTGTAGACTGTGTAGTTCTTGATTGGTGGCTTTAATCCGTTATCATTAGGTATCTCCTTGAACTTTCTCAAACACTGAAAATCTTAAGCTTTCATTAAAAAAAAAAAAAGTAAATGCAGCTTTCAGAAAATCCAGGATTCAGTACAGTCTTCCGAGTGTTTGACTTCAGCCTCCCTGTCCTGTAATTACCAACAGCAGGTACCCGGGTGGTAGACAAGAAGCCTTGCGGGATAGATAAGGAAATGAGGAGGAACAAACATATCACATGGTATCATAAACATACTTTATAAGTACATTTCTTATTAGCTGCTTCTTCGGGCAGAGATTATAAAAGTTTGCTGCAAGTATCCAGACCAGGATTTGTGTTTTGGAAATTATCAGTGTTCACAATACTTGCAGGGAAGAAAAAAATACAAAAACTCAAATATGAATACTGTTTACACCCAAAAGAACATTTTTATCATTCTTTTCTTTGTTTTTGGCTCTGTCAAAAATTAAAGTGCTTGGAATGCTGTAGTCTGTGATCTCTTGAAATTTAATCAATGAGAACCTAGCATTTTCACAGTATGCTGTCACTTTGGACATTCATAATAAAAATTGAAACTAATTTTGGTTGTTAGTCATTTATTTTGCTGTGTAGCTTAGTGCATCTTTTGTGGTCTGTCTGTGCCTAGTAACTGAGCAGTCTGTGTGTATAGAGATGTAGAGATACATTCATAGTTGAAGCCTTTCACTGTTGTTTTCTATATTTGAACAACCACTCTTTTTATTTATTGAAAGGCCAAGAGATTTTTGAATGCCAAGGCCTTTTTGAATATGCATTCTATAACACGGATTAAAATTAATTCCTGAGGATTATATCTAAGCTTTCTTGAGTTTCTCCTTACAGCAGATTTTCTATTAAATTGATTATAATTGTATTTTCTATTACAAGTAGTAAGTAGAAAACTAGAGAAGGCTATAGGTAATATAGTGGCAATTATAGGCTTTTCAATAGGATCTTTATTTGTTTGATTCTCTGCCTGGTAGTGTTGGAATATTGTTTTATGTATTCCATCATACTGCAGTAAGAAATAAAACAGCTCCAAAGAAACACAGACATGTGAGCCTATGTAGAAACTTAGATCTTGCTTGGCACCTGTACCAAATTTGATATGGCAATGAGAAAAGATCCCTTTCCTTCTATTCTTTTGTAACTAAACCTGCAATTGGCAAACATCCATCTAGCTCCCACTTCCCACCCCGTCAAGCCCCCACCTCCCACAAAGGAACAGTATGGATTTGTGACTAACTTCACCATTCTTGTGCACATATGAGCAAATGATTTGGGAAATTAAATGGGGAAAAAATAGAAGTTTCTGAGGTTCTTTTCGGTGGATAGGGTGAGAGGAGAAATAGAATAGCAAATGAAGTTAAAAGAGGATCATTCCTTCATCACTGGGTGCATATGCAGTCAGCACTTAGCTGGAGGTGCTTTTCCAATGACCAGGTGCACACGAAGGCCCATCTGTTGGAAGAGTAATCTTTTTAAAATCCCAAGGCAGCATAATAGGGGCAGAGGTTGATGCTTTTGTTCCCTGGATGAATTCCCTTTTCAGAAGCTCCTGCTCCCCTCGACCTGAGCATCTGGACAGGCTCTCTGTGTGAATCGGCATGAATATTGAACAGTCCCCACTCCATCCCTGCTTCAGTCCATGGCAAAGGAAAGCTTTCAAAAGTCACCGTCCTCCAGGGACTCGAAGCATTTCGAGCTGGTTTTTAAAACAGTATTAAGTGACTTTGACAAACTGAAGCTATTTGGTATTTGCACAATTAGAAAGAATCCCCCATGGGGGTTGTTTGGCTTTGTGAGTAAATGCTGGCCTCTCACTTGAATTCCAATACAGAGATCTCATTCAAATGAGATGGGTGGTCTTAGGCAATTTCTTTGTGGTTAATAAATTCCTCATGGGGGGGGGGAAACTATTTCAGAATGGCCTCCGCAAAGGAATTACACATAGATGATTACTTTTATCCAGAGTAATTTGTGTTTTAAATGATTTTAAAGTATAAGCAGTTAAGAAAGTCATGAAATTTGATGCTTTAGAAGAATGCCTCCTTTCATTCATTATTAATGATTTCCCCAAATCCACTATTTCTGCATCTATGTATGAAAATTGAAGAACATTCCAGACTATGGTGGTGGCATCAAATCCAATCATTTTTATAACTGGGCTTTCCTTTGGAGGACTCTTTAAAGGTTACAGAGAGAGGCAGCTTGGCGCAGTGGGTAGACTGGCACAGTGTATAGACTGGCTCATAGTTACTGATAGATGTTTTCTGTACCTTTTAGTATCTGTGAAAAATATTATATTTACTCCTTTTATTTCTTCTGAGGCACACATCTCTTTCAAAAACTTTTTTTAATATCATAGAAATATATTCTATCTGTGAGCTATAAGGAAATAAAATGATGCTCATTTTCATCCATTCTTACATTATTTCAAAACTAAATCATTTCTCAATCCTATAAGATATAAATCAATTGCCTATTATTGTAGATGACTTAGGAAAGAAGATTGTAAACTAGAAAAAATATACTTGCATTTTTAGTCCAAACTTTTAAAACTACAAGTTCAAGTACTGTATTCAGATATATTTTCTAAAAAGATATCATTCATAAAATTAATGCAAATTTTAAAATCCACTAAAGGATCCATAGTGCTAGAAATAAATGTGGCTTTCAGATGGCCGTGACTCTCAGCTTGCACAACTGGGAAAAAGCCTGAATATGCCTCTTGTTAATTTTGTCCGCTTGATCGTGGGATGGGAAGAATATTACTGAGTGGAAGCAATTGTTATTGCAAAGATGTTTTGCAAAGCTTTATGAAGACTGTGGCAAATGTTATCTTGTATCTCAAGGGACCTTGTGTGGAGAGTTGCACTGATATTTAGAAGTTCCCACACACGGTGTCACACAGGCCAAGAGCCACAGCAGTCAGAAATGCAAGGGGGACCTCCCTGCTTCTTACAGCATCATTCCCACCCTTTCATTACAACAGAAAAGGAAAAAGCTAACGAGGAAAAGGAAGTAACTTTTGCCAGAAATGTCCGTGCAATTGCGGGCTTTCTTTCCCCTGTGTAATGTGAGTGCAGAAATGTCCATGCGCTACAGGGTTTTCTTTTTTTTTTTTTTTTTTTTTTTTCCTTTAAATGGAGTCTCACTCTGTGGCCCAGGCTGGAGTGCAATGGCGTGATCTCGGCTCACTGCAACCTCCACCTCCCAGGTTCAAGCAATTCTCCTGCCTCAGCCTCCCAAGTAGCTGGGATTACAGGCACCTGCCACCATGCCTGGCTAATTTTTGTATTTTTAGTAGAGATGGAGTTTCACCATGTTGGCCAGGCTGGTCTTGAACTCCTGACCACAGGTGGTCCACCCGCCTCGGCCTCCCAAAGTGCTGGGATTACAGACATGAACCACCTCACTCAGCCCAAGGGCTTTCTTTATCCTGTGTGATGTGAGTGCACTCACAAGTACACATAGCATGGGACTGGAGGCCATAAGCAGAGTGACTAGAATCCTCTTAGGCCACAAAAAAGCAAAACTCTCAAAGGTGAGGCCTGGCTGGGGACTGCCAGGAGAGCGCAGGGACCAAGAGGCCAGCTCTGGGTTCTGCAACACGAGCTGGGCTCCAGTGCCCCAGAAAGTGATTCCCAGGTTCTCACCTCATGTACGGCAGGTGTGGCCACAACCGAAGCCCCACCTCCTTCACACTGACTCCAGGTCCTGTGCTTGTTTTTTTTTATTAGAATCTTGCAAATTTGTCTCCAAATACCAATATTCCTTCATTCATCCAACACGTATGTATCTAGTGCTTACTAAATACACAGTACGGTGCTTGAGATCAGAGATGGAACAGTGCATTAAAATTATGCTTGAGCACGTCAGTAGAACGTGCATGTTCAATGGGAATACGGGTGTGTACTGCAGCTTAAGCAGAAGATGAATGCAAAGGAAGCTCACAGAGGCAGATGCAAATCAGTAGTTTTCCTAAAAATGACTTGTTCTTTATTAGCTCAACTTGCCACTATCGTAAAAAAGAAAATAGTTCTTACTGTTTAGTCTTTTGCTGTTTCCTAGCCAGTAACACATTTATAGTTTTATTTGGATTGGAGAACCAAGAGATTATATTGACATATACTAGTGAACGCCTCTTTTCTAAACCCTGAAACTCTAGCAAGGATACAGGTCCCACCATCCATGAATGCTGCCGTTGAATTCAACATGAGAAGTGACCCGTTTCATCTGTAAACGGGGTGGGGGAACTCAAAATACTTTCAAACACAAGGACTTTGGCTTTACAACGTTTGGAAAATTACAGACAGAACACAAGAAACTATTTATATCAAACCAAAAGAATTCAGAGTTTCTCAAGAGATCTCTTATTAAAAAAAAAATGTGTATTTCATGGAATAAGGATAGACTATGGCAAGAGAATGGGATAGAAAGAAAGTTATTCTTTTCTGAACTTGGTTTGGTTTTCCTGGGGCCATCTTAGCAGTACACAGAAACAATGTTAGTTTTCCCAGATCCCCGTCACAATGAACAGTTGCATAGAAGTAGGGTTGATTGAATGTTTTCAGTCTAGTTGTATCTGACTTAGAAAGATGTTATCATTAAATACAAAAGGAGAAACTAAAGCCAATAGATAATCGGAGAATTGTGGATTTAATTCAGCATTAGCTGCTATCTTTTTCTCAGGCAGAAGGATACATCAGATTTAAGTACAGGAATTTAACTAAATGGAATGTCAGATTTATGATATGTAGGTTTCCTTTGGAAATCCAGACATCTCTGTCCAGATGTGAAGACTGTAGAGAATACATGTTGTTTAAAGCAGATTATTAACTTGAATAAGTACAAGCATGACCACCCCCAAATCATTTGCTAATCATTGTTTCTTTGACTTCAGTCAAGACACAAGCAATAACGTTCCTTCCATTCAACTAAAATCCTACTTAATTCCAAGTAAACGTAATAATTCCTCAGTATGCTCAATCAGACCATCAAAACCTTCGAGCTGAGGATCCCCAAGATATTACAGCAACAGACTATTTTCTAGCATAGTTGGGGCTTAAGGTTTTTCCAATGGATCTCCAGTTTTTCAGGAATTTGAATACATTTTTTAAATGCACTAACGTAAATGCTCTACTGGATATAATCCTAACAGTCTTTGCTGTTGCAAAGGCCACCAGGACCTTGAGGTGCTCCGGGTCTGGGTTAATGCCCATAGGGTTCACCATGCTGGACTGGGGGCCGCAGCAGCACCAGGCACAGAGCTCAGTTCATAAAGCACCAGCTTCTAACATAAATTGACATTAACGACAGTCACTCTCCTCCCAAGGACAGAGCAAAAAGGAAACCCACTTAAGAGAACAGATGCAGTTAGTGTATTTTAGCTCATCCCTTAAACAGTCACTAAACACCGGCATCCCATTGGATTTGTCTGTGCTTACATCAAGGAAGTTTCTTCTCTTACCAAATTCCTTCCATCACCCGTAAAGAAAGCACATTCCTTCACTCAGGTGCGTCTCCTCAGCTCCTCTTAGCTCAGTCTTCAGTTTGCT